GCAAAGAGTGTGGTGTTGTTTGTCTGATCCCCCCTGATTCTCTCGCATCTGTACCGTTTCTTATTTCGTTCAATTTCTCTGCGGCGTTCGATAAATACAGTGTTGTAGTTTGTTTGTTACAAGATGGAAGTCGCGTTCTTCTCTCGAGTCATCGTTCTTTACACAAGTCGTTTCCATCAATAAATAAAACACAAGAGAGTAAATTGAAGCGTTATTATTGCATTTGAAAGAGCCCGATTGAAAACGATGCAGAAGTAATGGAAACATCAAATCACAAGATAGACATAGGGTGACAAGTATGAAAAAAGAACCAAACGAAACATGACTGTGGACTTAGAAGTTTTCCTTTCCGTAGAAAAATCGCGTTCCTCCTTCACCCGCGTCAGTCCATTTGTTACTTGCCTTGTGTAATGTTGCACTCAAAACTTTAGGACCACAGAAGAACACACCCACGTCTGTTGCAGGATGTGTATCACGAATTGTCTTGAACACCACGTCCCAGTTAGGACGACCAAATAGTGTACGGGATCGGAGACCCGTAATGGCGTCCTTGCCTCCCTCTTCATCGTTCAGAATCACATTTCTGATTTCATTCGGCTTCAGTCCGGCTGTCAGGTACGTCATGATATCCAAGAAACCGTCCAAGTTCTCTTCTTCAATCGTGAGTAGCAAGTCTTGGAACCATTCAAACGCTTCCTTGTCTCTGCATACCCACACAAAGTACACCTTCTTGAGCTTGACCAAACTATCGGCAAGCTTGACGCGGTACCAAATGGTCTTGAGAATCGAAGCGAAGGGAGTCACACCGATACCAGCACCGACAAGAATTCCGACCTCAAAGTCAAACACGTCCTCGGAGGCAGATCCATACGGGCCGTCAATCATGACAAACGGAAGCGAGCTAGGTGGTGTCATGGTCGCCTCATCCTTGTTCCCAAATCGACAACCCAAACGCCTTGCAAACGCGGTCGTCCAGTCTCCGACCACACGGATATGCAGTGACACGAACGGTTCATTCGGACTGGACGTAAGAGTGAAGGGATGCCATTCGTACGTGGCAATCTCTGGACATGAGATGAAAATATATTGGCCAGCTTGTTGTTTGAAGCTTGGCTTTGTGAATTGGACTTCGACAACGTTGGACGGATGCTGAACGACCTTGGAAATGTATGTTTTGGCTCGACCACGGACTTCACGCAAGATACGCTCTGCGAGGTAGAAGACGGCACTTGCGATCCAGAACTTCCAGAAGGTGGGACCACCTCTGCAGACATCTCCAGTGTCACCCTGAAACACAAACCGGGATGAGTAAATTTTGTTAGAATGAAGTGTGGGGAAACAAAAAATTTCATTCATTTGTTTGTGCAAACCTTGATCAAGCAGAAGGATCCGTGCATCAGAGTCCCGCCAAAGAAGACGATGAACAAATGGTGCGTGAACCAGAAGATCTCAAAGTGCTTCCTGCGCACGGCCTCCATCGCAGACGTCACCATCAGAAAGAGCGATATCGTGATGATCTGCCCAGTGCTGCCCGGTCCAGAGAGAAAGTTGATCTGCGATGCCGTCACAACGTCTCCTCCCAGGAATAGCTCAACTGCGTAAAAGTTGTAAAAGTGGCCAGCGCAGTGCACAAACGACCAGAACACGATTGCCCAAGCGATGCAGATGTGAAATGTAATGTTCTTGTCAAAGGGCACGTATCGCGCCAGGAATGTTGTGCGGACAATGGAAATGATGTTTCGGCACACGGTGAAGAGAAGAATCGCAGAGTTCAGGTTGATGAGGTTTGCAGCTGCACGAGCAATTGGGAGACCGTGAGAGAGAACCACTCGGAATGTATTGGTAACTGGAGACGTCCACAGCTGGTAGTAACTCTGAACAAAGTATGCAATTTGGGCAATGACCCATACGGCGAGCCAGAAATGCTTTGGTGCTGCAGCGAAGGATATGATGATGAGTTTGTGGGGGAAGAGCAGCAGTGGTCAGGGTCTCACCTTCATTGACAAGGTAGTTGTCGAATTCAAGACGCCATTTGCTCTTGCGCGGACGTGCTGGTCGGTCCATGCTATGCTTGTTTTGGAGAGGACTTTTTTGGTTGAAGGGAAAATGAGTTTGTTCTTGTGTCAACAACTGCCAAAAATAGATTTTCCAGCCGGGCCTTCGAAAGTAATTGCGTTTGCGCATAAAATGAGAAATGCTCATTGCAAAATGACTTGTCGTCTTTTCGTTGTAATTGCGCGTTGTTTTGCACGAGACATTTGCGCGATGCTGGGTCATGGGCCATGCGTCAGTCTGAGTCATTCAGACTGGTGTGTTTCGCCTTACCTTCTGCTGCATAATGTATCCACATGTGCATTGATCATACTATGCAGGCATGGTATTGATATGTTACCGAACTTTCGAGTTTGTTTTTATTTATTGTGCTTTGTTAAATATTTCCAAGTATTTAAGTTAAATAAATAAGTACAGAAAAGTGAGTGACCCTCCTCCCCACACCATGTCGGACATCCAACACCAATCCTTTGTTCGCGACAATTGCCTTCTTTTCGAAGAAAACACGTTGCATCCCGAGGCGTATCTGCATCTATCCCCCTTGCCTTCTGCTTACCTTTGCGCAATATTTAAAATGATTCCGAATCAGTCGAGAGCCACCCTTGAAACGCAAACGTATTCTCCTTCCAACTAGCCAACAACAATAAGCAGCAATGTCCAACGTCGACTTTCTCGGGGTTCGTTAACTTTCTTTTTCGAGGGAGGCCGTTCAATTTTTCTGAACGTGTCTTTATTCCGCTCTTCACTTCCGTCCTTGGTATCCACGCCGGTCCTGCATCTGGTTGAAAATTCTGACTCCTCTCGTGATCCCATCTATACAAACGAACAGAAAGCGATTGAAATTGTCAAAAAGGCCACCGAAGAAGATGCAAACAACAATTACGAGGAAGCGTATAAGCAGTATCAGAATAGTCTGGAATATTTCATGATGGCCATGAAATGTCAGTTTTTACTTTATTTTTATTTCTCTCCTGCTTGGCTCTAAGTTTTTCTTTCGTGCTTGTCTCACAGACGAAAAGAACGAGAAGCTCAAGGACGCTATTCGCAAAAAGTTTACAGAATATCTCGATCGTGCGGAAAAACTGAAGGACTATTTGCAAAAGCAATCAAAAAAGAAGCCTGTGGCTGCGGGAGGTGAATTGTTTCTCCACGTGCCCCAGCCAAGCGAAATTGGGCGGATTGAAACGGCGAAAGTATTAATCGCATATTCTTCACAGCCACGACAAAGGGTTCAACGAATGATACCGATGATGAAGACGACAAGGAAGGTGGCGGCAAAAAAGACGCCGAGACTAAAAAACTTCGAGATGCCCTGGCTGGGGCAATCCTGACCGAGACTCCAAATGTGCGATGGGATGATATCGCAGGTTTAGAAGGCGCGAAAGAAGCATTAAAAGAAGCGGTCATTCTTCCCATTAAGTTTCCCCAGCTTTTCACTGGGAAAAGAGTGCCTTGGAGGGGAATTCTTCTCTATGGGGTGAGCGCTTCTACTTTCTCGATATTATTATGTTATCAAACTCTTTTGCAGCCACCTGGAACAGGAAAATCATACCTCGCCAAAGCTGTTGCGACAGAGGCCAAGTCTACCTTTTTCTCTGTCAGTTCGGCTGATCTTGTGAGCAAATGGATGGGTGAGAGTGAGAGGTGCGTATCGCAAGTTTTTCCTTACTTTTGCGTAACTGTCTTAGAACTGTGTGACCTGAATACGCGTTTTCCAAAAGGCTTGTAAAACAACTCTTTACTCTGGCGCGGGAATCCAGGCCATCAATTATTTTTATTGATGAAGTCGATTCATTGTGCGGCGCTCGTGGCGAGGGAGAGTCCGAAGCCTCGAGACGTATAAAAACCGAGTTTTTGGTCCAGATGCAGGGTGTTGGCAACGATATGACTGGAGTATTGGTTCTGGGGGCAACGAATATTCCTTGGCAGTTGGATCCTGCCATTCGCCGTCGGTAAGCGTTTCACCAAACTGTATTTTGCTTCATGTTCACCACGCAAAACAGATTTGAAAAGAGAATTTACATTCCTCTTCCCGACCCCAATGCTCGCTCAACCATGTTCCAACTGCACACGGGCTCCACACCATGTAAGATGGGGCCCTCTGATTTCAAATACTTGGGCGAACATACCAGCGGGTAAGTTTTCTCAATTTTTTGAATCGATTCTTGTGGAGTAGTTTATTGATACCCGCTCAGATTCTCTGGATCTGATGTAGGAGTCGTTGTGCGTGACGCATTAATGGAGCCAGTTCGAAAGGTTCAGACAGCGACTCACTTCAGAAAGGTTTCTAGCGTGAACTGCATTTTCAAAAGGCAAATGAAGCTTACATCGACTCATGCATATTAGGTGACGGGTCCATCTCGCGAAGATCCGACAGTAACTCGCGTTTTCTTGACACCGTGCTCACCTGGCGCCGAAGGCGCAATTGAAAAGTCCTGGGTTGATGTGGAACCCGAAGAGCTGTTGGAGCCAGATTTGACCGTCCAGGACTTTATAAGGGCAGTTCGAATGGGAAAGAAGAGTGTCAATGACGAGGACGTTGCAAAGTTCACCAAATGGACTGGTGAGAGCGCATTTCAACAACTCCATTTATCACTTTCAGCACTAATGTTTTTTCAACAGAGGAGTTTGGGCAGGAGGGCTGAATCTGTTTGGTCCTTTCTGTAACACATCCACGGCTTCTTGTCCGCTTCCAAAGTTTGTCATTTATTCCGAAATTGTAAGAACTTGCTGATCGGGGTGACGGCAGCAGGAAATAAACATTTTTTTTCGTTCAAACACATGAAGTGTACCCAATTCAGTTTGATGAAGATGAGGAACTCTTGCGACACTGACAAAGAGCATTGAAAGTGAAAGAAAGCAAGACCTGGACTGCGATACGCATTCTGGAGTTCTTAAACGCTTACAACTGTAATATAGGATATTGCACAGATTATAGAAACAAATATCCGCTAATAGCTCAGTTGGAAGAGCATCTGACTGTAACGAGCACTGTCATCAGGAGGTCCCCGGTTCGAACCCGGGTTGGCGGATAAGCTTTTTCCGTTTTGTTCTTGCAACAGAAGGATCAAGCTGGTATGACAGATGTCGCAACCGCAGGATTAAGTGCGAATGCATCTGTTCTCCGTGAATCAAGAAAAGTATGCGATGGTGTTTTTGAAAATTGGGACGAAAACAATTTCATCTGAAAGAATCTGAAAGGAGTCGAGGATGAACGAGCAAACAGGTTTGCTGGGACTTGCCCGGTTTCGGAGTGCCGGAAAGTATATCGCAGCAACGTGTTTGCTTGTGGCCGCGGGGCAATGCGGACGAGAGGAGCGAGAGACCGGGATAATGGATGTCAACGGCGAAGGAGCTGCGGGAGACATTGCTGATGCTGAAGACGCAGAGGAATTCACATCAAGTTCTGCTGCAGACCGCAATGAGCTCGAAGCGTGCGCTGACAGTGGTGTTTCTGGGCTGCTCCGGTCGGCAATGGTGGCGCAGTTCCAACCAAGCAGAGCATTCACGTCAGAAATCTCGGCTGGAACTCCAACTTCCTCAGGACTAGCATCGCCAACGAAGAAACAATCGGTCGCACGCAAGCTGGAGCAAAGAGCATTCACCCTCCTTAAGGACGCTTCCTTCATCACACAGCAGAGGCGTTTTGCTCCAGCAGTATCCGCACTAGCGTTTTATAACGAGTTTGCTTTGGGGGAGTTTGAAGCACCGGATTTCGTCAGAGCGGAAAGGTTTGGGTTTTTATGCCGTCAGGTTTTGACGTTATTCACCAACTATTTACTCCAAGACTGTACAATTCCTCTGCGGCATCCAACTGCTCATTCGCTCTTGCTCGGCTCGCATTCTTGAAAATGCAAGGACGCCCAGGCATCAAGATCAATCAAGCGCTTGCAGAACATTACAGAGCTGTCCTGGCAACCAACGCCGCAGCATTTGAACTTGGCGCCGCTGGCATTTCTGGCAGCTCAAGCCTCTCCTGGATCCACATTTTAGCCGTCAACCACCATCCATCGGCACAATTCTGTTTAGGAATATGCTTGTACAACGGCATCGGAACTGTCAAAAACAAGTCTGCTGCATACACTTGGTGCCGCAAAGCAGCCCTCCAAAATCATCCTGGCGCCATGAATATGCTCGGAAATTTATTTATTGAAGGGCATGGAACCACCAAGCAGCCTGCCGCAGGGTTGCGGTGGTACATTCGCGCCGCTGAACTAAAGGACGCAGCAGCCATTTACAACATTGGAACTTTGTTCGAACGCGGTGTTGCCGTTGAAGAAGATGCGCGACAAGCGTTTGAATGGTACGTGCGAGCAAGCGTGTTTGGTAGCGTAAATGCGCAGAATGTGTTGGGCATCTTTTACGAGCAAGGGATAGGCGTTCCCATGTGCTCCAAACGAGCTGTTCAGTACTACAAGTCGGCCGCGGGGAACGGACATCCGCATGCAATGTACAATCTGGCCCGGTGTCATCATGACGGATTTGGTGTTGTGCGCAGCGACTCTACGGCTGCAATGTGGTTCCAACAAGCGGCTCAGCAAGCTCATGTTCTGTCGCTTCTGTCTGCTGCCGTATGCCATGATTCTGGCGTTGGAATGCCTGATGGAAAGCGTGTTGGTGCAAGTGCCCGCGACTATTATTGGCAAGCGTGTAAAAAGGGAAGTGCTGAAGCTAGATTCCGATTGGTGGAAGTTGTTGCGTTGGAGATGTTGGTAGCCGCACGGCCTTTGCTGGCTGGACGAATGATTCCGATTTCAACACCAAAGACGCGAACGAACGACCATACAAACCCATCAAATATTCTAAGCTCTTCAGCAAAAATCAATTCTTTTACGCGGTTAGATTCTTCCTCCTACGTCGGTGCTGCCGCGGAATGTAGCTCCCTTCAGCAATTCTCTTCAACTAATACGGCGGCTGTCGATTTCATTTCAAACTGGCACAACTCACACTCTGCAAATGCAGGAGCACTGGAAGGTTTTTCATTGAACAAACAGCCAGACCGTTCCAGCAAAAATACCGAAACTGAAGCGTCGCGCTCGTGTTCTTCAAGTCCTTCTATGTACCTGAGGTCCCACTTTGCCGGCAAGAGCGTTGAATCGATCATGTATCCCTCTTCTAGAACACAATCTGTTGGGGCGAACTCCAACAAGTCAATCAAGCTTGAATCGATGCACTCAGCGAGTCAAGAAATTCAAGAGGCGTTACCAAACGACACTCAAACTGAAATGTCCGCAACGACCAGCATTGCACACCTTCCTACCGAAATTTTATTGCATGTTCTCTCGTTTTTGAATCCATGCAATGTTCTTACGAGCAGCCAAGTGTTGCGTGTGTTGGAGGTAGCTGGAGATCGCGGGACGCTCAGTCAGGGTCTTTCCAGAGGTGATGTATTGAAGGGTTTAAACATCGAACGAGTGGCTGTTTGGATCGATGGCGGAGATTGGTGTCGCTTCTGTCGAGGAAAATCATGTACCGTGATAAAACATCACGTTATGCGTTTGAAGAAAAAGTAAAGAGCTGTCAGTTATCAGACTATGAATTGTTCCTGATTATGATGTCTCACCCACCGGTTAGAATATAAAGATATCAGAATGTGAGGAATTATTACCGGTGAAATCAGATACATGTCTTTTCCGGGCCGATTGTTTTTTTGGGATTTTATTTACTTAGTTTTTACACACCAAATGCCTAACCAGTGAGTACGAACGTTAGTCATTCAGTTTGTTCATGAGGAGTGGAGATGCATAATACAGCTAGTAACTTAAAAAAGCAGCAGGCCAACAGGAAAAAAAATAAAAAAAAAAACTGTTCAGGGGGGGTGGAGGAAGCCATCCTTTACAATATTAGTACACTGACGGCATGTCACCACCCCACCAACACGCAGAAAAATTTACATAGATTATTCGTTCACAGATGAATCAAGGATTGTGGAATCCTGCGCAAACTTGACCTTCCTCGTGGAAAGTGGTGTTTCGATGGCAACCACATCCCCAAGCAGCAAATCACCGTCATCGTCCCAATCCTCCTCTTCCTCTTCCTCATCATCGTCATCATCCTCCTCCTCATCATCGTCATCGTTTGGATCACTGTCCGATTCGGAGTCTGGGCTTGCATTCCTGCCGCAATCCTCTCCATCACCCTCATCATCGGAATTTTCACTCATTGTTTCATCAATGAGTTTCTCTTGCCGCGCGGCATCGCCATCATCCATATTCGATGCCTCAAGCCACCGTACAAACGGTCCGGCCTGATCAACGAGAGTGTTACGCATCTGCGCGCGTACAAAAAAATCTTGTTCATTCGCGGTATTTGGGGATTCAGTAGTAGTTGTTGTAGTTGTAGCAGTGAAGAGAAGTGCATGCCATGCGAGAATCGACTCGACTTCTACAAGGCCGTGTTTGTAAAAGTCCATGAGAAAAGGAAGGTGCATGTACGGTCGGAGACGGGAGTTGTTTGCGCAGGAAGATGATTGCTTTTGATTTTCTGGTGCGAGGGATTGAAGATTGGGTGATTGTGGTTGGGATTTTGATTTGGGGAGATCGAGTTGGGTTGCATGCACGTGAGATGGCTTGCTGCAGACCCATGCAAGCACGTTCAGGAGCAGTGTGTCGCTGGGTTGGTATTTGGAGAGGAGGTTGTCATAGCGGCGGGTTGACGAGAACAACTGCAGAAGGGTGTGGTGAACTTCAGTTCGAATTTTCACTCCACCATAGATATTTCAATATATACCTTATCCATTTCACTTCGTATCCGCGCTTTTTCGACTTCAATTGGTTGCTTGGCGAGGCCTTTGCTGGACACTTGGCCCCAACTTCGGTTCACCCGATCTTCAAGGACTGAAACGAAGCTTTCCAGTATCACAAGAACGCAATGTGCGTCTCGAATAGTGAATCCGCGATCGTCGCTATCAGAGGATAATACACTTCCTTCGAACCGATCCACCTCACCATTACATGAATAACAACAACAGCAGCCACAAGAAGTGGGTGAATTATCGACATTCGTCTTTTGCCTTTTCTTGTTACAGTCGCAAACGTCGCCATTTCCGGTTGAGGCTTTTTCACTGGCAGTGCGAGATTCTGCGACAAGTTCGTCTAAATCCATTTGAGCAGTTTCCCACTCCACATGGTTTTTAAGTTCCTGCGATAACCTTGCGACCGCAGAGTCGATAAATGAAGCAACAGCGCTGCATGCTGGGCATGGCGGCGAAGGATTTTTAAGACTGTTGGAGGGTTGCGCAGATTCGACCGTTTTGTGTTTGGCGGCTACAGTATTATCAAAGAGACTTGTATCCTTTAGCGGTGAAGACGATGAAATGGCCGAGAATGTGTCACCGTTTTCGGAAAATGTGAAGGTATCGCGGTGGAGTGTCAAAGATTGCGGTTTCGTTTTTGGGGCAGCTGCGGATGACTGGGCAGTGGATTCTGTGGTGAAACTGCCCCTCTTTGCTGGCGGTGCCGTGCCATGATTGGTCGGTGATGTTGCTGACCCAATTGAAGATATCGTGTGATTCGCATTGTCAAGAATCGAATCGATTTCTGCGTCTTTGCTGCTTCCATGCTCCATCTTCTTTTCATGGTCGGAGACGATAATGTTGCTATTATCGCTATCTGAGTCTCCAGTACCGTCGGAATCGGAATCGGCAGTATGACTATCACCCAGGACAGCCTTTTTACTGACGGGGCTGCCTTCATTGCGATATTCCAGATCGCTCCTGCCCTTTCCCTGCATAATTTTTGACTCCGGTATTGAATGGCCTCGCGAATCAGAGGAACCCATCTGCTGTGTGGCATCACCTCCACTCTTTGGGCCTGCTTGCGCCGCAAAGCAAGCGCCCGAACACACTCGCCACTTTAAATCCTCGATGCGGTCTTCGAGCTTTAACACACGGTCACGCAGCACCCCGTTCTGCCTTGCTTCAAAGTCGACATCCAGCTCGAGTTGCTTTAGCCGCTCTGTCATGACTGATTCCTTCACGAACCGGCTTTCGCGCTCACTCGCTAGTGTGCGGGAGAGAGCAGCATTTACGTTA